CCCGCTGCCTCCGCCCGTTTCTGGGTCTCCAGGAGAGTCTCCTGGAGAATCAAATTGAGGCTCTCGTAGGCTCTGCGTCAATCAACAATGAGCAAACATGAGTGCCCGAAGACAGAAACGGCGGTGGCCTGCCACTAAGGTCTCGGTCCCCCACAGAAGCAGAAGCACATCAGGACTGAAGCACTTTGCTGAGTGTGCTGGGTCTAAACACACCTTCTCACAGAGGATTTCTCACCTCGGCCAGCTCTTCCTGTTTGTGAAATCGTTCATGAACCAGTTCACGCAAAATCTTCAATTCCTCAAAGCTCTGCTCCTCTTCAATCCGACACATTTCCTCCTGTTTGGGTGAAAACGAACACCAACCAACCACACAGGTATTAAAGCTCCAGAAAAACTGGACACTCCCCAGTCACTATGAATACTCTGGAGGAGCTGATCTGGTCCCCAACATTTCCACTGGAGGCCCAGAAACAATGAAGAGGAACAGTTAGGTCCATGTTTGCTGTGTTTCTGGTTTCAACAGCTCTCCCACACAACCCCAGTATCCTCCTGGTCGCCGTGATGTGGTAAGTACAGAAGAGGCAAAGAACAGAACTTAGCTGAAAGTGGGAGCTGAAGTGTACGAGGCTGTGCTGCCACGGCCTGCACGTGGCACGGCCCTGACAGTTTATGGAAAGCTTCCACACGCATGACCTCAGCTGATCAGAGGTGACTAGTTCTCCTTCTCTCGCTCAGATAAGGACACGAAGGACCTGGTCTACACAGTAAGTGTGGGGGCCTCCAGCTCCTGTGTTTCACATGGGACATTAGCAAGTAGGTGGCTGTTTTGGTTCATGCTAGTTAGGGAAGAACAATGGCAGCCAGCTACATGCCAAGATGCAAAGGACAGTAGAGCAGCTCTCCTAGACTGTTTCTTAGGCCCTGACATTAAGAAAATGATATTTTGTGTGTTACCCTGTTTCCCCGAAAATAAGACCTGGTCGGAAAATAAGCACTCGCATGATTGTAGGTACCAAAATACGGCACCTTGGCATACTGAATATTTTAAGCTGATGAGTTTGTGGAAAAGGCACCCTTCTCCCTGAAACAGGTCATAAAACCCTCATGTAAGGGGTGCGTGCCCTCCATATCCTGGAGGAATCATGCTACGGCTTCTTCTCCGGCTAGGTCTTATTTTCGGGGAAACACGGTACTTGCTCACCTCCATTAGAATTTGGATTTTTTTTTTCCTCCCTTCAGGTCTTTGCCTGTGTCTTTAAGAAAACCATCCAAAACAAAATGTCTGGTTTAGTCTATCCTTTTCATAAGGTTCCCGTGTCAGTAACCCTGCCTGACACTGGTGGAAAAAGCACAAACAAGGTGAGAGGGTCATGCCTCAGAGTGCTGGCAGAAAGGTGAGCATGCCCAGGGATTCACACTGCCGTGGGTACCACAGCGGGGGGCTTGATGGGCTGAATGCTTGTGCCCCCACCCCAAATTCATTGGCTGAAACTTTAACCCCAGTGTAATGGGATTTGGAGATGGGGTCTTTGGGAGGTAACTCCAGTTAGATGAGTTTGTGAGGGTGGGACTTCAGGATGGGATTAGTGCCCTTCTAAGAGAAAAAAAACCGAGTTCTCCCTCCACCAAGGTAAGGCCATGTGAGCACACAGTGAGGAGGTGGCCAGGAAGAGAGCTCTCACCAGAGCCCAGCCAGGCTGCCACCTTGAGCTTGGACGTCCCAGACTGCAGAACTGTGAAAAATAAATGGCTGGGTTTTTTTTAAGCCACCCAGTCTATAGCATGTTGTTATAGCAGCCTGAGCTAAGACAGCTGCTAAAGGGAAAGTAATATTCCTTTTTGCTTGGAAGGGTTTACTAAAGAAACAGTTAATTAAGAGATAGTACCTCTGCCGAAATACTGGAAACAGTCTAAATTGCTTTGCAAGAATTGATGCTCACAAAACCGAAACAAATCAGAGAGCAAAGCAATCCCCACCCGCCTCCCCCAGGAGATAGACACACAGCCTGGAGCAGGGCTGGAGTCCATGCTAGCACTCCAGGAGGGGGGCTCTAAGAGTCGCTAGACCTACAGTTAACTAGAGCAAGAGCTTGCCTTCACCCCCTATTTCAACCCCTTTGCCTAGCCCCTACCTCCAAAAAGCTCCAAGGTCAATCAAATCAATTGGGCTTAGGGAAAATAGAGGCCAAAGCCCACAGAGATTAGCTACAGGCTCAGAGGAAAAGAATAATGACTAGGTCTGGGCTTTGAAGAGACATCAGTGACTAAATGAAAAGTCTCTCTGAGCTCTGCAAAGAGAGCTGGGGGGAGGGGNTTTTGTTGGAGATTTCATTGTTCAAAATGGCCCCAAAGCATGGTGCTGGAGTGCTGCCTCGCATTCCTAAGCACAAAAAGCTGTGGTGCGCCTCACGGAGAAAATATGTACTAGACAAGCTTCGCTCAGATGAGTTATAGTGCCGTCGACCATTAATGCCATTCGGTATTAGTGTATCAACAGTTTACACTGAATCAGGTGTCGTTAATGCAATCACACATGAAACACGGTTATGCGTGCATCGGCTGATGAATGTTAAAACCAGAGGCTCCCAGGCACCTAACCCTGTTATCTCCCCCAGGGGCAATGATTCAGTATTCACATTTCAGTGTTCACGACAACTTTCTACAAAGAAGACCTCAAATAACGAGATCAAGTGGGCACTGGCACCTAGAGCAAGCGCCACCACCAGGTGCTCTCTGCGGGCAGTACCTGAAAACTCGAGCTGCATGAACGCACTTTCATTGCTTTGAGGCGTTCCTGGCTCCTGGTGTAACAGCGTCACGGTACCTCGCTGTAACTGCAAGTTCAGTTTGGCGAAGACATGATCTCGTTTTGTATACGTGTTCATGCACGAGGCGTCCGCAGTGGGGTCAAAAAACTCCTCGGTGCCTGAACGTGAGGATGAAAGGACATGGGGCACTTTAAATAGTGCACCAGGCAGGCGCACTGATCAGCCATGATGACATTATTTACCTATTTCCCCCTTTTCAGAAAAGAACTCCAACTGTTTCACTCACTAATGCAAAATGAGCCCAACTGTTTTATAAGGGCTCTTGTCAGGTCATTACCAAACCAGGAGGACACTAAGATTCATGATAAAGGACAGCACAGGGCAGAGTTGCCCGACAGGGAAATGTCTCCAACTGCCAGGACAGTGGCCACTAACCACGAGTGCTTTGGGCACTGCTGGCACATGTGGCTCATGTGGCTGGGGCAACTGGGGAAGTGAGTTTTTTCTTTTCTTTAATTTTAATGAATTCAAATCGAAGTAGCCATTTGTGGCTACGGGAACCACCGTGCGGGTCTAAAGGGTGGTGCTAGAGTGGTATTCAAACATCAGAATTCAAAGCTTCTGAACTTGCTCAAAATTCGTTTCTTACAATCGCCACCACTCCGACTGACCTGAAGCTGTACTAATATTCACATTTAGTAAGAGAGCTGCAAATGAAGTCTCTCTCAAAACATCCTCTCTCTGCCCCTCTGAACATGAGACAAACTGTTTCACAAATGTCTTTTTTTTTTTTT